TTCCTCCTGTGCAACAGGGCTTAAATCCAGTCAGAAAGTGATTGGTTACAGACATAACATTTATGTCACTGTTGCACCCATAGGCATATCTTGCCACACTGGTCGTTATTGCCGTTCACAGGGTTCACAGCTGCATATGGCTGTTGATGAATTTTTCCCTAGCAGCCTGCATAGCACTTTCCAGTACTGTGAGAGCTAGCCAGCAGGGGAGAAGCTCCCTGGTCAGGAACAATTTGATTTCTATATGTTCCATGTCCAGTGTGTGTGCTGTCTTCAGCACAAGGGTCTTCCCATCAAGTTCTGGCAGGGAACTAAGAGGATTCCATATGATATATTTTGATCATACATGTATTTAGCAATAATCTGTATTATCGGGGGGGGGAGGTTTCTGGGACCTGTGACAAACAACTTGAGAGGAGGTGTCCCACTCCTAGCATAGGGATTTTTATTTGACAACCTATGGCTTACAGACTTTACAAAAGAAGCAATGATAGCCCAAAGTCTGTATAAGCCTGTCTGGCAAAACTGCTGAGATTTTTAAAAACAATTTTTTAATATGTCTATCATGAAAATTGTAAGAGCACATAATTAACAAAAATATTTTCTAAGGGAAGTTCCTGCCAACAAAAATACAGGTCACAAAACTTACACATAGCTGGGAAAAATACACTCATACTGTCTTTCCACTGTCCTTGGAAAGATATAACACTTAAAACCAATTGTTAAGTACAATAGGGTTGTACATGCTATTTTATTAGTTTCCTAATTGTTTTGCATTTATAAACATTTACTGAGTAGGTAAGACAGGAGACTGTTAAGTTTCCATGCATTATCTGTTAGATTGTACACAAGATAGCCTTGTCTGCCTCCCTTTACCATCTTATTATTCATGGAGTAGCAGACACTCAATAAATGGCATGGCCTAATTACTCAGCCCTGATGTCAACTGAGAAGAAATTACAAATCGAAGAGTCTTTTCTGTGAGCACAGAGTCAAGGAGAAGTAAATGCTATTTGTTGTATATCTTGTGATTCAATTCCATCTTTTCTGGGTCAGGACAATGAATTCTATTATGAATTTTTGTGTCATGCTTTTGTTTCTGTCTGCGTACTGTTTTAGCTCTACTTTTCATCAACACAGATTTAAATACTCAGGGAAAAACCTGAGTTTTTAACAAAACTTTCAGTTTATGTTTTCTTGTGAGGGTTTCAGTACTGTATTTGAAATCCTAATCAAACTGGTTTAGGCCTGTTTTAATCCTTCTTATAATGTCAAACTATAGAACCCTAATTAAGTTGATAAAAGACTACAGAGCAAAGGAAGGGGCCTGTGAACAAGGGGGACCAATCCTATTCATGAACTTCTTTGGTGACAGTTGAATTTTGGAAGTGACCTTTCTTGTCAGCTTGCAATAACACTGAGACTAGAGAAATTGGTCCCTTAGCTGGCTGTATCTCATTACTGTAAAATTACAAATATTTCAGTGATTTCAGATATCTGTGTAAGTTGTAAATCTGAGATAATAAATTGATGTTATCTATGACTTGAGAATTCAATAGCATGATTATTCTATGCATGCAACACACACATACACCCAGACACACATAGTATCTTAAAACTAGCTTTACTATGGCAGATAATTTCAAGCTAAGGTGTTCAACAAGCCAGTCAATAATATGACTATTTCTCTTCACTTTACAAAACTGCAGAAAGCACTTATTGATGATCCATTCAGGGCATTTTAATCACATCATTTTCTTCTTCTTTTCTGACTTTAACTCATAAAAATCCCAAGACATGAGGAAACAATTTGGGGAAACATGTCACAGCACTTTATGAAATATAGGAAGATAGACAATATCAGATCTTTCCTTGGGGGGGTAAGAAAAGCTAATAAATAGTAATATATGTATATATGTATACATATATGTGTATGTATATATTTATATATATAGATATACTTGTATCTGTGTAGTAGTATGTTGTATAAATGATAACTTTTGGCTTGGTTTTGTTTTGTTTTGGGGGGTTGTTTTTTGCTTTTGTTTCTGTTTTGAGACAGGTTCATCTTGTAGCCCCAGCTAGCCTAGAACTCACTATGTACTCTGGGCTGGCTTGCATATCACAGAGATCCTCCTGCCTCTGCCTCCCAAGTGCTGGAATTAAAAGTGTGCACCACCATACCCAAGTAATTGGTGGCTTTTTTGAGGTAGCTCTCATATAGCTCAAACTTACCAAGTAACGGAGCATGACCCTGAACTCCTAATCCTCCTACCTCTACCTCCTGAGTATTAGGATTACAAGCATGCATCACCGTGCCTGGTTTTGATTTTTTTTTTTTTCTTTTCAAAGCAGCACAGTTCTCTGTGGGAAAGCTTTATGCTGTTTTTAAGCCATTAATAGTATATAGTACTGGTTTCCATTCAGATTTAAAGCTGAAACAAATAACCATAATGCGTTTCTGTTTTTATGTGGAGTGTGTTCCAAAAGCTCCAGAATTTTTAAAGTGTCTTTGAAAATTCATAGAAATAGTTTAGTAAATGTAGTACGTATGATGGAATGAAAAAACAAGTAAAACTGAGATATCATCTCAGGGTGTGTTGTGGATTTCATATACATGTTCTTTCCGGAGCTCACTGGTTTCTGGGTTCTGTGTTATGAACACAATTGGTTTTCAATATAGGCTTAAAATTCATAAGCACCTAATCTATACCATCTGTCAGGCAGTATACTAAAAGATACAGACTGTGCTCCTACAGTTCTTCCATGTACCCTATGAGGAATTATAATCCTGAGTTTTCAGTTAAGGAAAGACACTCTTTTAGAAACCAACTCATTCATGGCTTTGTGAGACTGGTCCTTGGCATTGCAGGTACTATAAATCCAGTCGCTAACCCTCAAGTCTATTATACTTTCCCATGAAGTTAATCTATGAAAAGAAAATCTTGAAAACACTACCCTATACATAGTTTTAAATTGTTAGAAATCCACAGTCTGCTGCATAAGAGGAAGATTCTGCTGCAGACTCAGTAAAGGGAGATGATGAAGTGTGTTGGTTCTTGCCTTGGGGCTTTGGAGCCAATCAGTGTGGGAATGCGCCCAGACTCCGTGGCTGTAAAGTAATGACTCTGAATCAAGTTTTATTTTGTTTTTAAGTTCCAAGCTTCAGTTTATTCTTCTACCAAATATGTTTTGAAGGCATATTTCATAGGTTATGGAAAATTTCAGCACCATACTGACGGTTGACATTTAGCTAGAATACTCAGCAAATAGTAGAGATTTGGGGTAACTGTTAGGATTTTTGGTAACTATTAGTAGTAATATTGCTAAGAAACGAAGATACATTAGATGGTCAACCAAAGATACTCAGGGACATGTATAGCTTGTTACAGGGTGATCTTACTGAAGATTTTTAGTGATAAATAGCCCTTGAATAGTACCTATAATTTATGTGAGGCTTTTGATCATATTTTAAAATATGGCACTGGATGAAACATTTTCAAATCATGTCTGTATTTTGATTACTGTTGCTAAAAGGTAGTATATGAATAAGTCCTCGATAACTGAGGAATGCCTAACCCCTTTAAAAAAATCTATATTAGTCGGTTATGGTGGCATATGCCTTTAGTCCAGCACTTGGGAGGCAGAGACAGGAGGATCTCTATGAGATCGAGGCCAGCCTGGTTAATGTAGTGAGTTCCAGGACAGCTGGTGCTACAGGGAGACCCTTTCTCAAGACCCTCCCTCCCCAAAAAGAATCTGTATAAAGAATGGTCATAAGTGCTCAGCAGTTAAGAGCACTGTCTGCTTTTCCAGAGGACCCAGGTTCAAGTCCCATCACTCACATGGTGGCTAACAATCATTCATAACTCCAATTCCAGGGGATTCAATGCCCTCTTCCGGCCTCTGCAGGCTTTGCGTGGCATAGGTGTATTGACTTCCATGCAGGCAAAACGCTCATGCACATAAAATAAAAATAAATAAATCAAAAGAAACTTTAAAAAATTGTCATAAACTAGACCTGGTAGCACAAAATTATAATCTTAGCTACTTGGGAGGCAGAGACAGGAGGATTATGAACTGAAGGCCAGCCTGGGCTACATAGTAAGTTTAAGTTTAGTCTGGGCAACTTAATGAGATCCTGCCTCAAAATATAAAATAAAAAGTCTATGGATAAAGCTCAGTGAAACAATGTTTGCTTATTATGTGCAAGGTCCTAGGTTCAATTTCCAGTACTGAAAGTAATTATTATAGTACATAATCTTTGACTCATTAAAATTTTTATTCAGGCCAGGGCTACACAATGAAACCCTATCCTAAAAAATATTCTATTCAATTAATTTATGAAAGAGATGGTTCACTTTTAAAAATATTGCTGGTACATATTCTCTAAATTGGGAATAAATAAAACTGGGTCAGTCTCTAGTTAACATTTGTGTATGACACACATATTCCATTAAAGTTGATTATAATAAATGAAATTTTTTCAAATTCTTGGCCTAACTATAGAATTTCGTTTCTTTTCCTTTTAGCTGTTTCAGAATACCTTCTCATATTTCTTGGTCAAAATATATTTATTTAAAGTGAAAATCTTGAATATTTGTGTACTATGATGTAAAGAAAATAGAATCTTGAACAAAAATATGAATTTAAAATTTGCAGATCCAATCTTTTATGCGAATGAAATAGATAAATATAGGAATGATTCATCTTTTTAGGATAAAGTCAATCTCTGTTGTCAGGGACTGACTTTTGAAGATGATATATTAATAAATAGGATTAAAAGGGCTCAAAAAGGAAAAGTTCTGTTTGTAATCATTAAGAAGCAATGTGTGTGTTGTTCATGCCTATCCTAATTTATACACCATTTTAGTTAATCATCTTTTTCAACTAAACACTGAATTTTAATGCTGTAACCTTCAAATCCGAAGTATATGATCAATTCTGTAGCAAAAACATCCCCATTCAGATTGTAATCTCCTTTTTATTTCTTTGCTCAGATGATGAACCATGCTTGGACTAATTATAAACGCTATGCCTGGGGCTTAAATGAACTGAAACCCATATCAAAAGAAGGCCATTCAAGCAGTTTGTTTGGTGAGTACAGTGTGCTTTGATTTGAGGTTTTTGGTTTTTTGGTTTTGCTTTTGATTTTTTGAGACAAGATCTGACTCTGTAGCTCAAGCTGGCGTGATCTCCCTGTGTAACCCTGCCTATCCTCAAACTCAGAAAAATGATCCTGTCTTGGTCTTCCTGAGGATTCCAAGTGTGAGCCACCACTCCTAGCTTTTTATTGACTGACTTCTCTCTAGCTCCCTGAATGTAAGGTAGTCAAGAAACTCGCAGGGTGCTGTGGTTGTCTAGTCCACCATGCTGTGAGGAAACTTGAACTCCTATTGGAGCTATAGAGGCACTGTAGCACATAGTGTGTCCTTCAAAAAGAGCAGCAGCTTCATTTCAGAGTGACCTTGCATAACTATAAAGCATACAGCAGCAGGATTTTTATCTTCTGAGGTGGTTCCTGCAGGAGAGTCACCTACATTAACTGCTTCCTGCTGCATAAAAGCTGTGGCTTTGTAGATAAGCTGGCCAGGCAACCAGCCATGGAGATCCTCTCTGTATCTCAGCTTTGGCTCCAACTTCCTGGTGTTAGTACTCTGGAGGACAGGGTGGGTGGACTAGGCAGCTATTTGAACTTCCATCTGTGTGATTTTTGCTGTATTGCATTTGGTCCTCACAGCAACCCTCTGTGATTGGTACTGTGGGTATTAATAATGTTCTTTCTGTGGTAGTAGGGAAATCAGCAGAAATAAATGTTTGACTGAAACCTAGGGCAAAGACCTCCTCAAGGCCCTTCTACTATGTTTGATTTCTTTCCAGCTCTCAAAATTGTAATGGGATAAAGGAATTGAAGTATTCTATGTCTGAGAAATTCACCAGTAAAAAGCACAGCTTCCCAAACTTTAAGGAAACCTGTTAAATGATACCGGTTCACATAACAAGTAATAGCTGGAGGTGACATTTACTGAGCATTTTTTGTGTGCTAAGTGTCACCATGCCACATATCCTTTAATCTTATTACTATGTACATTTTATTGGTGAGAAAAATGAGACTTAGAGAACAGCTTTTTTAGAGCTAGCCACTATCCACTATCTTGAACTTGAACTCTATGTGACTGACAACAAATTTCGTGTTCCTAATCATGGTGCCCTGCTTTTCCATGTCTTTAGACTTTCTGTAAATTTAGCTCCAGTTCTGGCCGTGGTGTCAATGAAAATAATAGTCTTTTTGGAATAATAGCCTTTTTGGAATTCATGGTCTAGTATAACATGACTTGTCAAAGCCATGTGGATCAATAGATGCTCATGTGAAGTTCAGGGAGCCATTGGGATCTCAGGTGGGAGAAAGGCGTGGCCAAGAAGCCAAAAAGTGTTTCCTTTAACAGTGAAAATGCCACTCACTTAATATGGAAAGGAAGAGAAAAATATCCTATGCTGAGTTTGTCAAGAGCTACAGTCAAAATGAATCTCTGTCCATGAAATTGGGAAGGAGAAAGAATTTTGTGTTAGTTTGTTGTCATGCCTCAAATTGTGAAAGTTCTAGCCTCAGTGTCTGTCAAGTTGAAAGGGCATTAAATGTGTGTGTGTGTGTGTGTGTGTGTGTGTGTGTGTGTGTGTGTTATTGCTCTGCTATTGCAAGCATCCACTGGAGTACATGGAACATATTGTTTACCGATAAAGGAAACTACTGCACTGATTTCTTAGACCTATCACAATAATTTTCCATCTAGCTAGCATGTTAAAAGAGTTTCACACAGGTGCACTTCAGTGCAATTTCACCAAAATTAACAAGTATGCTCCTCTGTTTTAGGCTACAGTCACAAATGATATTTCTAAGAGGTTTATTTTCTGCAACTTGGAGCACATGTCAAAGATTGGTGTTTATAATATGTAGCCTGTGATCATTTTTAGTTCGACTTGGTGCATTTTTTAATATTTTATTTTTCTGGAGGAAATTAATATTCTGTTCAGTCTGTTTATTAATAAATTAAGAATTGCCCTTAGTTTTCCCTATGTATAGTCAATTTGTATGTATGTATGTACATACATATGAATGTAAAGTGTTTTATGGAAGAGATTTTTTTTTTTTTCAGGCAACATCAAAGGAGCAACTATTGTAGATGCGCTGGACACACTTTTCATTATGGGAATGAAAACAGAATTTCAAGAAGCAAAATTGTGGATTGAAAAAAATTTAGATTTTAATGTGGTAAGTTATATAAAAGTTGCTAATTGGGTCTTTAATGTTAGCTTGGCTACGCCCTGTATTGGGGCAGATTATTTTATTGCAATTTATGCTGGTAGAAATAAATGATTCAACTGTTGTATATGTTTGTTTGCATTGCTGTGTGTGTAAGCTAGAGGACGATGCTAAGTTAAGGGTTGTTCCTCTGGTGCCATCCTCCTATTTTTCTTTTCTTTTTTTATTTCTTTGAAACAGGGTCTCTTATTGGCCAGCCAGTAAGCCCAGCCAGTAAGCCCAGACATCCACCCCTTTCTACCCATTCAGCCTGAGATTTCAAGCTCTTGCCACCACATCCAGCTGTTTTACATGGGTCCTGGGAATGGAACTCAGGTTCTCATGCTTGAAAGGCAAGCATCTTACTCAGCTTTCTCTCCAGCCCCAAATAATGCAACTTTGAGTAGTAAAGGTACTATTGTTCTATGCCCTTGCTCTGAAATTATGCATATATATGCAAATTAGGGGTAAATCAAAAGAAACAAAAATTTCTACATAGTCTACATGTGCCAAATACTCTAACTCAAACCCCACAGCAGCCCTGGTGGTTTTCACTCATTTACTCCAGAGCACGGGTCTGGCTGTGTGCTGGAGCTGTGACTGGGACACTGAGATGTGTCTCCAGTGCTTCATTGGACACTGCCAAGGCATCTAGAGAATCAGCAGCCATTTTCCCCCAACTAAGGCTTCAAACTCCATTGGTCATACACTTCTATTAGAAGAAGAAATTGCCTATGTGTGCATATGTATCATAGTTTTTAAACATTTGTGTATGTGCATTCTTGGCTAATAGCCTGGGACCCATTGTACTGTTGGAGAACAATGCATTATTAATATTCGTGGGTGACAGCTCAAGTGCTTGGTGGCTGTGATTGGGGAGGACGGTGTCGCTTCAGATCTAACTGTGTGGTCATTGTTTTGCCTCATAAAGATGTCAACCAGGAGCTTATTCTAGGAAAAAGAAGCATGTCGGCCCTGACTTTTTAAAAAAGTCATCTTTTTATGACTGCATTATTGATATTATTTTAAATCTGAGATTACTTTGCAGAAATCCATATAAGCCTCTTGTCAACCTAGTAAATATTTAGTAATATCTGTGAATCCCCAAGACGGAAGAAACATTCTTTATGTTGAAAATCTTTATGTTGACAAAGGACAAAGAAAGAGGGCATACCTGCCCACCTCTCTGCTTTACACACTCCTCTTGTCCTGCAGATGAAGAATGGACACCAGTGCCAAGGCAGTAAAGACTACGGAAAGCAAATCTATGTCCATCACTCTGAATTAAAAACAGACAAAACTATAAGCTTTAGTATTTTTTTCCTACTCCTTTAATTAATTGCAATCTATGCCACGTTAGGAAGGTCTTACAAACAGACCTTCATCTATGCTCAGTCTTCTTGATAATTGAATCTAGAATTCAGTGTTCTAAGCTATTTGGTTGGTTGGTTGGTTGGTTGGTTGGTTGGTTGTTTTTTTTGTTTGTTTTTTGAGACACGATTTCACTGTGTAGCCCTGGCTTGCCTAGAACTTGCTATGTAGACCAAGCTGACTTTGAATTCACAGAGATCCACCTGCCTTTGCCTCCCCAGTGATGGGATAAAAGGTGTGTACCACCATGCCTAACTCAAGCTCTTTTATTTTAAATGTAAAGAAAACAGGTATAAAGAACTAGTGGTTTGTTCAAGTTTATAGACCTATTTGATTGGAGTGACATGTAGTAGTTCGGATACTAATAAAACTAAATGAAAAATTAAAGGAGTAGAAATTTTTTCTCTTTACAGATTTTTTCTCTTAATAGTATTTGATTTTTATGTTTGTTTTGTGTCACTGGGCATCAGATCTAGGGCCTACCACATGCTAGACAGGGGTGCTGAGCTATATTTCCAGTCCTTTTAATAATACTTATTTTATAAATAAATTCAACTACCTACCTACCAGCTTCTCTTTAGCTGTATGTGATCGCTTTTCTATTCCTTCACCCTCTCACTTGCCCCATCTCTCCCCCCTTATAAACTTTAATAATGCTAGACCTATGAATAGTACCCAGGCCCTTACTGATTCTTGGTTGGTCTGCCTGACAAATACTTTATTGTCCCAAACCTCCCTAGACATGTAGCAATTATTTGCTCTCATGACCAGTGTTATCCTGAGCAGCTCTGAACTTGAGGGGATGTAGATGGGTCGAGGGTAAAGAACTGCATTGTTTTAGAAAACTAAGTCCAAAGGTCTCTGGAGGTAATAAACTGAATGTCTGTCTGTAACCGGATGCTGTTGGCTGGTCTCAGGCCACTGAGTTTAGGTGAAAGGAATATTTTCTGTGTGCTCAGGGACATAGAGAAAGCAAAGTGAATCTAATAGGCAATATCACTCTATGTAGAATCCAAGAAAAATATGTCAGCTGGCCTCCTTGCACATGGGGTAAAGGAATTGAGCTATCATTAAGTGATTGCTAAGATACTTGCCTTTAAAGCTTTATCTAAAAATGGCCATTTTCATGCTATCAATCATGGTCTTGCCCTGTGCTTTTCAAAATATACATCTAGACCCCCTCAGCTACAGCGATATACATTTGATTTCAAACTATACTTCTAAAAATCATAGTCATAGGCCTCAAATTTCTGTTTATTGTGATCTCTCGTTCTCTCTCTCTCTCTGACTCTGTCTCTGTCTCTCTCCTTTATTTTTATTTCTCGTTCTCTCTCTCTCTCTCTCTCTGTCTCTGTCTCTCTCTCTCTCTCTCTCTCTCTCTCTCTCTCTCTCTCTCTCTCTCTCTCTCGTGTGTGGAGGCCAGAGCAGGACACTGGGTATCTTCTGTACAATTTACCTTATTGCATTGAACAAGGTCTCTCATTGAACTGGAAGCATGAAGTTTTGCTCTGTCATGAGCCATTCCCACTTCCAACCAGTACTTGGGTTACAAGCATATGCAGCCATGCCTGACTTTCTACGTGGGTGCTTGGGACTCAAACTCAGGTCCTTATGCTTGCAGAGCAAGTGTTCTTACTTACCCACTGAGACATCTTCCTATTGGAGGCCTAGAATAGAGGAAAATTTAACCCCAAGGCTAAAATGGGGAACCAGTTTATTCAGGTACAGTGACCCATAGAGAGATTTCTCTAAAGCAGAGCCCCAAACAAAGAAATAGTCACCTTTTTATACTTTTTGCATTCATGTCTCTTGTAGATAGCCATATACATTTTGATTGATATATTTTTAAATTATTAATAACCACATACTTAGAAGAAGCATTTCATTACAACAGCATTGACATATTCAATAACAATTTCCAGAGCTAAGATGAGTCTCTTTCAAAATTGGCTGTAAATTTTTAGGTTTACAGTTGAATTAATACAGTTATACAATATTGTACTTGGGATAAACCCTATAGGACATAAAATTAAATGAGGTTTTAGCTCTTAAAAAAGATCTTCATTTCATTATTAAAATAAAGTTTCATACAGAAAATTTCATTTTCAATGCAATTAACACTAAGATGTTTACACATGTGTTTCTAATCTCTATATATCTGATTATTACTAGTCACAGTCAGTTACTTTCTGAGCTCCTTGGCATCTGAGCATA